TAGTAAGGGAGAGCATATTTGAAACAAATTGAAAGGTAGAAAGTGTCAGCAAAGCAACAGAGATTACGAAAAAGAGTGCAAATGAAAATTGAGAACTGAAAGATTCAGTGGCCAAAGGAAAGAATTCACTGGCTGGGCTCAGTGGCATAGTAGGGACACAAAAGAAAGGTGAACTTAAAGATAGATCAACAGAAATTATCCAGTCAGATAGATCAGTAGTTCTATCAGTAGAAATTATTCACAGAGAGGAAAAAAGATTTACAAATACTGAACAGAGTTTCAGGGACTTGTGGGACAATATCAAAATGTCTAATATTTATGTTATTAGAGTCTCAGTAAAAGGAGGAAAAAGAATCTGGCTCAGAAAGAAATGTTAAAAAAATAATGGCTGAAAATTTCCCCAATCTGGTGAAATATATAAACTTATAGGTTCAGGAAGCTCAGCAAATCTCAAACTGGATGAACCTAAAGAAATCCACAACATAATCAGACAATTAAAAAAACCAAACAAAATCTTTGATTCATAAAGTGGGACACCCAAAAAACCACAAAGCAGTTCAAGAAGTAGATTTCTAGCCCTCCCAGCATCCCTTATATCTCTTTCCAATCATAACTCTTTCTCTTCCCTTAAAGGTCAACACTAAGGTGACTTTTGTGATAAAACTTCTTTGCTTTTCTTCATACTTTTATATATTTACCACCTATGTACACATCCCTAGGTTGGCCTATTTTGCATTTTAAAGAATGCAATCATATATGCAATCACTGACTGACTCTGGATTTTTGGCTTACATTGTGTTTGTAAGATTCATTCATGTTGTGATATCTGTCATTCACTTATTTTCATTCTGTTAGTCTTTTGTATAAATAGATCAACATTTTTTACCTATTCTATTAATTATGGACATTTAAGTTACCAGTTTTATGGTATGACAAATAGCTCTGTTAAGAGTCTTGGTGATGTGTCTTCCCATGCATAGCTGCATACCTTTCTCTTGGGTTTATCTTTAGGAATAGGGTTTCTGGGTCATTGGTTATATGTATATTTATATATATCCAATGTATACTTATAAAACCTTTATACATTTGTACCAGCAGCACAGAGAGATACAATTTCTCCATATTGACAACAAACACTTGTTATCGACCATCCTTTTAATTTTAGGCATGTAGGGGAAGAATGCAGTGGTATTTTGTTGTGGTTCTATATCCTATTTCTCAGTTGATAAAAGAGGGGAGCCCTACCCCCTTAGGTGTTTACTGGCCATTGGGTATCTTTGCTGAAGTGCCGTTCCAATCTCATGTTGTTGTTTTTATCTTATTGATTATTAAGAACTCTTCACATTTTCTACATCAATCCTGGTTCTGAGTAGCAGAAGGTAAGACACAGTAGATCTGCAAGAGATTTACTGGGGGAAACACTGGTGAGGGACGGTGGGAGGAACCATCCAGAATGACGCAAATCCCACTCTGTAATGGAGAGCTGAGAAAAGGAAGAAAGAAGCTCGTGAACTACATTGTAGTTCTAAGAAAAGAGACTTAGGGAGTTCTTGAATTAAAATGAATAGTGGGCTGCCTGGTGGCTCAGTAGGTTAAGTGTCCGACTCTTGATTTTGGCTTGGGTCATGATCCTGGGGTCCTGAGATTGAGCCCTGCCTTGGGCTGGGTGCTCAGTGTGGAGTCTGCGTGAGATTCTTTCCCTCTGCCCCTCCCCCTGCTGGAAGGACAGTGATCCTCTTCTCTCAGCGTTAAGGGGGAAGATGAAAGACCTGTACCTAGAACATAGAAGAGGCTCAGTAAATGCTGTTGATTCTTCCTGATGTTGTTCTTCAATCAGCAATTTCTCTAAGGACACTGACCCTCCAGTATGAGTTCCTGATATATCCTAACTCCCCTTTCCTCTTGATGATTTATAGTTTCTCTCTCAAGACACTAGAAGGACCCTGGGCACTTCTAAGAGGTAAAGTAGAAGTCACTTCCTTGTGAGACTAAATTCTATTCAGGGGACTAATTAAACGATGGCACCAACATTGTTTTGATCTATGAAGGGGGCACAAGCTCCAGCACTGCTTCAGCGAGTGATCCTGTGAGGGAGAATTATTCTCCCTTGAAAAGGCAGAAGCACATGGCACTGACAGTTCCTATGCTATCACTCCCAACTCCCTTATAAAAGCCCTGTCCAGTGGAAGGAGAAAGTTTTCTCTGAGACTGTGCTGGTGAATATCCTTAGCAGAAAGCAGAGCTAATGATCCCACTCCTCCTTCTAGAGAAGGCAGGTAATGGAAGGTGGTGGTTGCGCTGGAAAGGGCTCAGGCTGGAGCACCAAACAACCTGGGTTCCAGCTGCACCTCTGCCACGGGTGAGCCATGTGACCTTGAACCAGTGCATCTAATGTCTCTGAGTCTGAAATCCCATTATCTTTAAAATAGATAATTGGAAACAATATTGTAAATGCCATCAGGTTCTTAAGCAGATAAAGGGGAAATGGATGACAGAACAAATTCCCAGCTGATTGTAAATGAATGGCCATCTTTTGGGTTCTTGCCTCATACTCGTCTAAGAAATCTTCAGTTCAGATGAGTTTTGGTAATCAATAACAACTGCCCACTCTGTGCTTTGTCTCAATAGATCAAACAATTCTAATCTCATTCAGGAGTTTAATCACATGAACAGTGAAATTTGGGATGATATGCTTGGAGCTGGTCTGATGATCCTCTAAGAACTCTTCCAGATCCACCGTTCCATGGTGTTAGGATGTAAAAACAAAGCACAACACAAAACCTGGAGACCTGTTGTTGTCCTCAGATCCAGTCAATGTAAGTTTTTTATAATCTGTTTTTAAAATTAAATAAAAGAAAAATGCAACTCAAAACTGCAGTAGAATAATTTTACTAAAATTCTCATTGCTTTCCACAAAATAATTTTGTTTCTCATGGATAACTCAAACAGGAGATGGTGACTTCTTTCATTTTTTTGGCTAGATTTTAACAATTTATTTCATAGATCACAGAGATGAATCAGCGTAACATTTTTATTTTTGGCATATAAATTCATTATTTGGCTAAATTCTGTGCTATTCATATCTATTTGCATTTTCTCTAATTATATTCTGTATGAGGATCAATATTAGGGCATTTTTTGTATTTATAATATTACAGTTTTGAGTATAATTAGTTATACTCCATATAACTAGCTAAGTTAGTTTTGAATTCATCCACTGAGGTCCTTGGATCCTTAAGTCACATGAATAGTTTGTTGCCCATAGTGTTGATGATGGTAATTTCAGAGATGCCATTTATTGGATGTTTATCCCATCCAGGCTCTGTACAGACACTCGGCATGCCCTGTTCCCATTTACTGCTCTTTGCAACCGCAGGTTATAGCAGTTCTTTTATTTTCATTTTATAGATAAGAACATTGAAGCTTTGAGAAGTTGTTCATGGTTAAATGACCAACAAATGGCAGAGGAAGGATTCAAACCCAGATAAGCTCAAGTGACAGTGTAGTGCCATGAAGCCCACAGAATCTGTAACAAGACTACCTGGGTGCAAGCCCCAGTTCTGCCACTTATTTGCTGAGTATGCTTCTGTGAGTTGCTAATGTGTTTCTCACTTTCTTGCTCTGCAAAAGGAGGATGAAAACAGTGATCTACCTCATGGGGATAACAAGAGCCTTAAACGAGCTGATATACATAAAGCAGTTAGGGTAGTGCTTGGCAAAAACTATGTGCTACCCAGGTGTTTGCTCTTATCACCACTGTCTGTCCTCTTGGCCATAACATTCTACTCTGAAAAGGTCCCCATCAGACATGTCACTTGCAAAAACTACATTTGCCTTCTTGAACTAAAACTAGGAGAGACAAAAAGCAGGCAAATTCTTGGTCAACACAGGAATCTTCTCCCCAGTGTTTCTTATATCTGGGTGTCTCTTCCTCTGACACCTAATGATCCTCCCTTAATTCTTATCATACAGAGCATCAGATCCTCAGCAGTTTGGAAGATTCAGCTACTTTAAAGAGGCCTGTATTTCCAGGAAAGTCATAGGTTGGTGGTGGGTGGGGCTAGTGTCAGTTTTTTGTTTAAAACTAAGATAGGCATGCGCATTTCCTTACTACTATCATTAGGAGAATAAAAGGTGAGTAGGAATATTCTGCCAGGTGAATTTATAGCTGGTTAAGATGGGGTATCTGCTCTCCCTACCCTGGTAGCTTCCTTTAATGAATAGGCAGATACTCATTATTTAATAGAATCTTTCACTGATGGTCACCAAACTTATACTTTGAGTCCTTCCCATAGATGCAGAGGGACTAGTAGCTTTTGGCTAGAAGGATTGCACCAAGCCCAGGGAGAACAAAAGCAGAAGCATGTAAAATGTCTAAAGCAAGCAGGAAGAGTAATTTAAGTTTGGCTTCCTGGACATTATTCTGCCCCCACCATGGGTGTGGGAAGAGATGAGCAGGGAGAGAAATGGGAAGTTGGGGAGGTCTCCAGTTGCTGCCAGTCAGCTTCTCTCGGTCTTGCTTCAGTTTGTTTTACATCAGTTTGTGTTACCATCAGAAACACTGACAGAAAGTGTAGCAAACCTCCCTGAAAAGTTCAAGAAGAAAGATTTAATTCAAAGGATATGGACTCTACATGCAGAGATTTCAGGAGATCCTAAATATACATGGTTTTCTGAAGTGCCATTGTATCTCTATGGAACCTTCCTGAAAATTGTCAGAGAGGTACTCTAGCTGAATTAGAAAATCAAGGTCTGCCAGATGTTCATTTTCTGTAGTAACAAAACTAATTTAAAATTTAGATAATTCAATTATTATTTTCATGTAATAACTTAGGTATCTACTGCTCATTGATGCTAAGGTTAACAGTAGGCATACACTCAAATTCAGAGGTTAACAGAGTGAATTGGTATAAGAATTTTGGAATGGAAAGAGTTAGGAGAGACAAAGGGAAGTGGGGGCATCCCAAGAAAACCTCACAACACCTTTCCTCCCTGTAATTCTGTTAAAATTATGTTTCTCTCTTGACTTTATAGGCGATAGCATATGTGCATTCTCCTCCTTGGACTCTATGGAAATACCACACAATATCACAGAATTTTTCATGCTGGGACTCTCACAGAATGCAGAGATACAGAGGGTCCTCTTTGTGGTTTTTTTGATCATCTATGTGGTCACAGTGTGTGGCAACATGCTCATTGTGGTCACCATTACCTCCAGTCCCATGCTGGCTTCCCCCATGTATTTTTTCCTGGCCAACCTATCCTTTATTGACACCTGCTATTCTTCCTCTATGGCCCCTAAACTCATTGCTGACTCCTTGTATGAGGGGAGATCCATCTCTTTTGAGGGCTGTCTGGCTCAGCTCTTTGGAGCCCATTTTTTAGGAGGTATTGAGATCATTCTGCTCACAGTCATGGCCTATGACCGCTATGTGGCCATCTGCAAGCCCCTGCACTACACGACCATCATGACCAGGCATCTCTGTGCCCTCCTGGTGGGTGTGGCTTGGCTGGGAGGCTTCCTGCATTCACTGGTTCAGCTCCTCCTGGTCCTTCAGCTGCCCTTCTGTGGGCCTAATGTGATCAATCACTTTGTCTGTGACTTGTACCCCTTGCTGGAACTCGCCTGCACAGACACTTATGTGATCGGTGTGCTGGTGGTCGCCAACAGTGGTGTGATCTGCCTGTTGAACTTCCTCATGCTGGCTGCCTCCTACATCATCATCCTGCATTCCTTGAGGTGCCATGGTGCAGAGGGGAGACGCAAAGCCCTGTCCACCTGTGGGGCCCACTTCACTGTTGTTGCCCTGTTCTTTGTGCCTTGTATATTTACTTACATGCGACCATCATTTACTTTGTCCATAGACAAAAACATGGCAGTATTTTATGGTCTTCTGACACCTATGTTGAATCCACTCATTTATACCCTGAGAAATGAAGAGGTAAAAAATGCCATGAGAAAGCTCTTCACTCAATAAGAAAGTGCAGGTGTATAATGAGCGGTAAAGCAGGAAACAAAAATGACTTTATTTCTGTAAGTGGAAAAAACCTAAACTTGTTTTTATTACTGAATATCACCTTATTCCATTTTATATGTTCATCTTCATAGACTTTTATGGTTTAGTTTTTTCACTATAATTGCATAATTTTGAGACATATATGGCATGAATGATTATTATCCATTTTAGAAATGAGGAAACTTTGTCTCCTGATGTGATTAATTGATTAAGGTTATCTGGCTTTGAAGTACCCAAGCTAGAACTCAAAATCAGTTATTTTTAATCCATCATCCAGATCTTTCAATAGCAACCTATGTTATATCATTCAAATCTGTGTGATAATCGAGCTGTAGAAATGTGAGACAAAATACAACTTAAGTTAAATCATTTCATGCTTAATCTCGTACAGCAGTCTGTGTCCATCTAGGCAAGGCTTCTATTGCTTCTCATCACCCTGTATGACATCCCTGGCATAGGTGCTGTTTTATAAGACCTTAGCTCTGAAGACAGATGAACCTGAGTTTCTTATTTCCCATGCTTACTTGTGGCATGACCTTGAATAAATGACCAAACTTCCTTTTTTTAAAAAAAGATTTTATTTATTTGAGAGAGAGAGCATGAGAGTGCATGAGCCAGGAGAGGGGCAAAGGGAGAGGGAGAGAATGTCATGCAGGCTCCATGCTAAGCGTGGAGCCCTACGCAGGGCTTGATCTCCATATCTAAAGTGTTATTGTGAGAATTAAATTAGAAAATCTATGTAAAATTCAGAATCCAGGTTCTGGCACATATACACACAACATGTTTTATTGGATAGGTTCCTCAACCTTTTTCAAACCTTCCATACAGAGGTTGCCTTCTTTTGCTTTTCTATCTCTACTAGGTGTGAAATATATGTTGTGCTTGGAGTTGTTTAGTTTTAGTTTAGGCTTAGTTTTTGGTCAGTGATGCAAAGTAGCATTGCCTTTTATTTTTCCTAACTCCCTCTATTTCAGATTCCAAGGGATGACAGTGTTCTGGAATCTGAAACATACACTCATGTTCGCTCCATTCTTTTCCTGGTTTTATGAACTCTGATCCAATCCCTTCTCAGGTTTCATTCAAGAGTGAAGGCTGCCATAATTTATGATAAACTTCTCTTTTGTTTCACAAATAATCTGTAATTCACCATGTTGCAACATATCCACTTTTTGCACTAAGAAAAAACAAACTAGAAATTAAAATGAAGAATAATTTGCCTGCTGTAAGTATTCACAATTAATCTCCAAGAACCAATAAATTCAGGAGCTCATCAGGAAGTAGTTATTGTTTTACCCCCAAATTTCTATGTCTAACAAAAACAACAGTTGCAAAGTTCCTAGGAAAAATAAACATTGTCTTTCATTTTGTCACATGTGATAGTCTAGTTAATAAAACTAGGTATAATGGAGATGTTGAATTCTATACCTATTCATCAGTTGTTAGATAATAAAAGTATGATTGAGCCAATTTTCCAATCAACTAATAAATAAGAAGTCATGGTGAGGCTTACTAAAAAATAGCCTATTTTTCCCCTAATGTGCCACAGTTTTGTCCCAGGAGACATTCTAGACCAGCATACTTACTTCATATGAAATTTGACAAGCACTTTTTAGTCCAGTTAAGATATCAACTAGTATAATGGAGTGATCCTAGTACTCTCTTGTTTCCTGTTGCCTGAATCCTGATTAGCAATGGCCCAACTAATTTATGAATGCTCCTTATTTTTGAAAAATTTCAACTTGCTAGAATAAACACATGAGTAAGTATCACCAGAAGTTTTCAATATGACTTAAAAATTATTGCTAATTTTATTTTTTACAAAGGTAGCAGTGTCTCCAGTTTGGAGTCCATGGTGAAACACCTTTCTCCCCAAATACATATTTAAAATTCTGAATCTAGGAAAACAAAGATGGGCAATGCACATGCACACACACCACACCTGTATATGTGTAAATCCACCTATAAGCCATTACCCAGAGATAGTCACCATGGGTCTTTTGTTAGATATCCTGGTTGTCTTTTCATCCTCTCGTCTCCTCCTCCCTGACCTCCTCCTCCTTGTGCCTCCATTGCTCCTTCCATTTCTTCTATAAACATGATTATCCTCTGCCATCCTAAAAAGGTACTGTCTGGGGCTAAGTGATTTCTTTGTTCAGCTTACAAGGCAGCTTAAACAAATAGACTTTTCTGATCATCGGTTTCCCTGTCCAAAAATGGGTGTTTTAATCCTTAGTGTATGCCCTTGTGAAAGGCAAATGTGCTCTAAGAGCACAGCCTCTAACAGGTTGATGGCATCTCATAAATGTTGGTGCCCTTCCCTGCCAGTGGGCAACAGAAGAAGAAAGGCTGGAAATAGTACAAACTTCCAAATTTTAAGTGCTGTTGAAAGTATGCTTATGGAGTAAAAACAGAAGAACTGCATTTGAAAATTTTATTCCACAGCTTATTGTTACCTGCAAGCTACTTAAAAAAATAGTTTTTCACCTCTCCTGAACTTTCTTCTCTCAGTGAAGTTTTTTCTTTCTTTTTTAATGGATGACAGCAGGATGAGCACATAACCATATAAAAATATTTGTTATTTATTTATCAGGGGAAAATACTATTATATAAGTCACAGGTCATTCCTTTATGTACAAACTATTGCCGGTGGAGGAAAAAATAATTTCAAAGATATTTCCTGTTATGTGGGAATCAAAACACTCATGGTGTTACAAATTACTGACTAGTCACTAGCTGCTTCTTTGCAGATTTGTACATTTTCAGCCTGGCCATTCTATGAAGGCAAGTCTACCCACAGATTCGTTCAAACAATGAAGGTGAAAGGGTTTCAAGAAGAAAATTCCAAAGATTAGAGAGAAATGTAAAAATTTTAGTTTGCTTGTTAGAGTAAGCAGATACAAAATGGGTTTGATAATGCACAAAGGCTTTGGGCGAGCCAGGCTTAGATTTGAATTCTGGTTCTGGCAAATTTTAGCATATTGATCTTGAGCTATATAGTTAACCTCTCCAACCCATTGTTTCCCAATTCATGAAATGGGGAAATCAGTATCATTGGAGTTATTGGGCTGTAGTAAAAATTGAATAACAAAAAATTGTGACTACAAAGTACTCTGCACCTAGTAAACACTGAAAAAAAAAACCTGTCACAATTATTTATACTAGAATTGCTTTATTGATGTTCACAGGATCCCGTGGGTATGTTCACCATTATGTTCAAATAAGGAAATGTTTTAAACAGAGGTAAGTTCCCCAGTTTGAGACTTACATTAATGAAAGAAATATGGACAGAAATTACTGCCTCCAAAACATATAAATGAGTGGGTAGGTCAGGACATTGTTCAAAGAAGGTGCTGGAGACATTAGCTGTCCTCATCAGCATCGTGAGCGTCGTTATCCTTATTTTTTTTTTATCTTATTTAAATTCAATTAACATTTGGTGTATCATTAGTTTCAGATGCAGAGTTCAGTTATTTATTAGCTGCATATAATACCCAGTGCTCATTACATCACGTGCCCTCTTTAATGCCTATCAGCCAGTGACTCCATTACCCACCCACCTCCCCTCCAGCAACCCTCAGTTTGTATCCTATAGTTAAGTTAAGGGGGACACTTGGGTGGCTCAGTCAGTTAAGCATCTGCCTTTGGCCCAGGTCATGATCTCGGGTTCCTGGGATTGAGTCCTGGTATAGAGTCCTCCACTGGGCTCATGCTCAGCGGGGAGCCTGCTTCTCCCTCTGCCTGCCACTCCCTCTGCTTGTGCTGTTTCTCTCTCTGACTAAATAAATAAATAAATAAATAAATAAATAAATCTTAAGAGTCTCTTAAGGTTTATCTCTCTCTCTGATTTTGTCTTATTTTATATTTCCCTCCCTACTGCTATGATCCTCTGTTTTGTTTCTTAAATTCCACATATGAGTGAAACCTTATAATTTTCTTTCTTTGATTATCACACTTATTTTTACATTATCCTATTTCATCCCATCTTTCTTGGGAACTACAGATCTTTAAAAGATAAGTTTGATGGGTATTATATGAAAACAATGAATCATGGAACACTACATCAAAAACTAATGATGTATTGTATGGTGACTAACAATAAAATAAAATTTAAAAAAAGATAAGTTTGATATACTTTTTTAATTTTTTAAATCTTTTTTAATAATTTTTTTAAATTGTTATGTTAACCACCATACATTACATCATTAGTTTTTGATGCAGTGTTCCATGATTCATTGTTTGTGCATAACACCCAGTGCTCCACGCA